GTGGGCTTGACCTTCATAGAGTCAGGTCTGCAGAACTGAACAGGGTTAGTGGAATCTGACCCTTAAAACACTTGTGCAGTGGGGTACCTGGCTGGTTCAGTCAGTAGAGCATGCGACTTTTGATCTCAGGGGCATGAGTTTGAGCCTCATGTCGGGTATAGAGATTACTTAAATAAATAAATAAATCTTTAGAAAGGGGAAGAAAACTACTTCTCCAGCATCCAGGGAGCTGCAGATAGGCACTGGAGGGGAAACTGAGACCGCTAAGTGGCTTTTAGCTGTAATCATCCATGGGGGTGTCTTAGCCTCTAGGACACAGAGCTTGACTCTATAGGGCAGAAGTGGGAGGCAAAAGGAGGAAGGTAGGAAAGTGAGAAGAACGGATACCAGGATGGTATCTGGCCTCTACTTCTTCATCTGGCCTCTACTATGTGCTGATGGCTTGAGCTCAAGGGATTATCCTCTGAGAAGCCACATGACATGAGGCATAGCATAGCCTATGGGAGAGGAAAAGGAAGGAAATTTATCCACCAGCTTACCTCCCATTGGATAAAGATCCACTTCAGTTGTTCATGCACAGGTGCCAAGTGGGGCTTTGTGGTGTCCCCAAACTCAATGTCAAGAGGCTTACAGCAGGGTCATGAGGCAAAGATTTATCAGGATACAGCTCGTGAAGTCAAATGGAGCCCATCCAGAGCCGGACACCATAGCAGCTGCTGGGACAAGAGATAGTTGGCACTAAGAGGCCCTGAAGGTCTGTTTCAGAGGTGACAGCAATGATGCACAACTTTCTGGACAGTATAGTATGTCCATATTTACAGAGGGCCCTAGAAGAGCAATTCTTAGGAGCTCTAAACGGGAGCCACAGAAGGGCTCCCAGCAGTTCTAGAACTTTCTGATAGTAACTCCATAAATACAGGTTACATCCTGCCTGACCATGTTCTTTCTTGCCTTCCTGCCTCTGTTGACTTGTCTGTTTCCTCCTTTAGACCATGAGCTTCTTTATTGTTCTTGTTTATATATCTGTGTCACAGAAAAGGCTATTTGCACCAGCCCATTTCATATTCGTCCTAGGCTCATAGCAAAACCACATTTATCAGTAATCAGGCCCACGTGACTAAATTCTGGATAATTTCCATCTGGACAGAAGTGATAGATATATCTCATTTCTAGGCATCCCCCAAAACCTCCTATGTGAGCCTCCAAACTCTTCTCCTTTCCTCATCTGCTGGCCAGATGCAAAACTATCCAGTGGAGGACTTAGAGGCCCCCAAAAGTGGCAATGGAATGAGCCAGGGTCCCTGACTGACTGCATGGAGCAGAACCCCTGTGCTTACCCGCAATGGACCGTGCCGAGAGTGAGAAATGAACTATCTTAATGCCAAGTCACTGAAATGGGAGGATTGTTTGTTATGGCCATTAGCAGACTCTGACTAATACAGAACTTGTCTAACTTCATTTGATCTGATATCCCTCCAGGGCAGGGATTATGTTTATTTGGCTTTGGAACCCAAGTGCTAGTGTGTTGCCTGATACATAGTAGGAATTGCTCAAAGCATGAATGGAGTTCATACGTCAGCCTGGTCTTAAAGGATCAGAGGTGGAATACCAGTCAAGGTGGCGGGTAGAAAGTGTTCCACTCACAGTGGTGTAGCATATGCAGAGTCAAAGAGACCAGGGAGAACGTGCACAGTTCTCAACAGTGCAAATTGTTTGTGATGTGAAAAGGAGATTGCTAGGATGAGGCTAGAGAGAAGGCAAGGGCCAAATCACAAAAGGTCTTATTCATTACATAAAGGAGTTTGAACTTTATCCTATAGGAATTGTTCAAGGATTTTATTTTATTTTTTTTTAAGATTTTATTTATTTATTTGAGAGAGAGAATGAGACAGAGAGAAAGAGCGTGAGAAGGGGGAGGATCAGAGGGAGAAGCAGACTCCCTGCTCAGCAGGGAGCCGGATGCGGGACTCGATCCCGGGACTCCAGGATCATGACCTGAGCCGAAGGCAGTCGCTTAACCAACTGAGCCACCCAGGCGCCCTGTTCAAGGATTTTAAACAGGTATGTTATATCATCAACTTTATGTTTAAAATAGGTCAGCCTAGAAGTATGAATTAGAAAGGAAGAAGCAAAAATGTAAATTTTTTAAAGCAACATTTCCCATTGCCCCTAAATCATTCATCCCATGAGATGATCCGATAAAAATAAGTTTCAGGGGACACCTGGCTGGCTCAGCTGGCTGGTAAAGCATGCAACTCTTGATCTTGGGGTTTTGAGTTCGAGTCCCATGTTGGGCATGGAGCCTATTTAAAAAAAATAAAAGATTTAAAAAAAAAAAGAGGTTTTGGGGTCAAGTTGGTTTAGGAAGTTGTGCATACTCTAGCCCATCTTAGAGGTTGCCATTGCTCATTAGCATATTAAAAACTGAGAGGTCTTGCATTAATGAAATTGGTTAAATTTTAATAATTCTCAAAATTATTTGACCACAGAACCCTCTTTTTATTTAATACCTATTAAAACTGGTATTGGGATTCGATTTGGCTACATATAACAGAAAAAAAGGTATAATAAAATTGAAATTTATTTTTGTTCTGCATAAAAGAAATATGGGAAGCAGGCAGTTCAAGAATGGCATAGCAGTTGTACGGGATTGTCAGGAATCCAAGCTTTAATATTTTTGCTCCACCATCTTTGCTTTCATTTCCAAGGTCCAAGATGTCTGCTTGAGTACCAGTCCACATTTCCGTGGAAGGAAAATTGAGGTTCTTGGGGAGCCTGGGTGGCTCAGTCGGTTAAGCGTCTGCCTTCGGCTCAGGTCATGATCCCATGGTCCTGGGATGGAGTGGGGAGCCTGCTTCTCCCTCTCTCTCTGCCCCTCCCCACCACTTGTGCTCTCTCTATCATAGATAAATAAAATCTTTTAGAAAAAATTGAGGTTCTCTTACTAAAGAGTCGAGAGACTCAACTAGTAGTCTCTGGCACAATGCCCCACAGAGATAATATTCCATAGAACATAAGTTGGGATAAAATGACTAAGGAGATTGGATTTTTTTAAAACATTAACAGCTTTATTGAGACACAATTCACATGCCATACAGTTCACCACTGCAAATGTACAGTTTGATGATTTTTAGTAAATTTATACAGTTGTGCAACTATCATCACAATCCAATTTTAGAACATTTCCATCACCTCTAAAAGTTCCTTTCTTCCCATATACAGACAATCCCTACTCCCACCCTCCAGGCCCAGGCAACCATGGAACTGCTTTCTTCTTTGTAATTTTTCCTTTTCTAGAAATTTCACACATGTGGAATAGTATAATATGTAGTCTTTTGTGTCTGGCTTATTTCACTTAACATAATATCTTTGTGGTTTATCCAGGTTGTAGAATGCATTGTTCTTTTTTTATTGCTGAATGGTATTCCATTGTATGGATATGCCACCTTTTGTTTATCCACTCACCGGCTTACGGACCTTTGGATTGTTGCCGCTTTGGGGCCATGATGAATATCACTACTAGGAACATTCACATACAAGTCTTTGTGTGGACATATGTTTTCATTTCTCTTGGGAAGATACTTAAGGAGATTGATGTTTAAAATGGAAGACATTCACTGAAAGAAAATTTACTGAATGCCTAGCTCTGACTTTCATAGCATTGTATTAGGTGCCAGGGATAAAATGATGAATAAAATGCAGCACAAATTCAGCCCTTGTGGAGCATGTACAGTCTATGGAAGTGACAGGCATTAGTCAAATAATCGTGCCAACAAATGTAACATCACAGCAGTGGTAAGTGCCATAAAGGAGTGGCACATGGTGCCATGAGAGCCTATGCTGGAAGGATCTGCCTCAGTCAAGGTCAGGAAAGCAGAAGTGTGCCAAGACTTCTCACCCCAATGAATTTTGTCTTTCAGAGTAATATCCTATGAGGCCATGTGCTTATTTCCAATAATGCTGCCCTTGCATACAATTCCAAGGCAGTTTATAGGTGTGCTAGTCCTGGGCCTGTTTGTCCTCAAATAAAGTCCTTATGTTTTAACCTCTCAGAGTTTTTTGTTTTCTGATTAGACCATGAATAACATAACAAGTCACATAAGAAAATCAACTGCATTCCTTTAGAATCACATCTCACTGCCAAAAATGGAATTCCCCTTCTGGGTCAAGGACCTTATTCCCCAGAGCTGGGGGAGAGGTGTTCGTGGCAGTTTGCAGAAATGAAGTTCCAGATTTCATCTGTAAAAGGAGAGTGGACAATGTCAAGTCTCTTCTCCCTTATAGCTCAAAAATCATGTGTCTGTGGCTTGCCACTGAGGAGATCCCCAACAGTGACCCATGGTGTGTGGAGGTAACTTCCAAAGAAGAAATAAAAGAATGCGTGTAGCCAATGGCACTGCCCTGGCCTGCCAAAAGCACCCTTTCCCAGGACAAAACGGGGTAAGACTAGTTAAGCCCACGGGCTTTGGAGGCCAACACAGGCTTTGGAGGCCAACAGATCTCGTTCAAATCCCAGATTTACCACCAGTGAAGTTTTTTTGATCCCGATAACAGGGTTGTTGTATGGATTAAATGATTCATTCAAACTACTTAGCACATGAAAACTGCTCGACAAATTGTTAATTACTCCATTATTACATCCTTTCCTCTGGCCCTCATTTCCCCCTGTCCTGTGTAGACCTTCCCCCTTCTGTTGACTCACTCTTTTTTGAAACATACTAATTCTTCCACTGATTCGACTGAAGTCAATCTCCGTTCTTCTTGCCTTTGACCTGAGGGAACTTTTGTCTTTTTTTTTTTTTTAATCATTTGGTTTATTTTTTTTTTTAAGATTTTATTTATTTATTTGACACAGAGAGAGAGAGAGAGCACAAGCGGGGGTGGGGGGGGTTGGCAGAGGGAGAAGCAGGCTCCCCATTGAGCAGGGAGCCTAATGCGGGGCTCCCAGGGCCCTGAAATCATGACCTGAGCCACCTTTTGTCTTTTAAAGTGAGTTCTGGTAATATATGGCTTCCATCCCTTATGATTTAATCTGACTGATTTAACTCTTAAAGTGCTGCAGAGCTCTCTCACGCATGTCTAAACACTACTACTGTTTTTATTTTTTTTTTAATCTGAGTTTATACATATGACTGCTCACTTTTAGTAACTATGATTTATAAAAAGTCATACCCCACATGTTCTTGGGCAGGATTTTTTTTTAAAACACCAGTCACCCTACCCTGAAACAGTTCCATAAATCCTTCATTCTCACTCAGCAGTGTACTTTCCTGCAGCGACAGTTAGATAATTTTAGCCGTAAAAACGTGCTTAAGCCGAGGTTCTTCACCAAGCCTCAAGGTGTGGTGGAATCCTTGTCCTTGTGAACACAATTCTACCATCAGCGTAACTGACCAACTCAGAGACGACCACCTGCAAATTAACAATAAAAGAAGCAGCACTGTTTTACCCTCTAGGAAGAAAGCACTACAGTTTTTAAATTTAATCAGTTTCCATGTTTTTGCTGAGGAAAAGCATGGTAGGCATTCTTATATTGTCCCCTCCTGTCCTCAACAGCTCCAACTGGGAATGGCTCGCAGCGTGAAAACTGTTTGCCATCTCTGGACATCGACTTTCTAGATTATCTGTAAAATGGGGATATACCCTGTCTAGGCAATTTCTCAGAGTTGTTGTAAGGATCAAATGAGATGTAGCATGTGAAAGAGCTTTGGCATAAACCTAAGAATTATTGTTGAGGATTTCAAGTAGTGTTTTATACAAGATGTTAAAGTATAAACACTTCATGTATAATTTGCTCATGTCTTGGTGATGGCCAGAGCTCCTATTCATAAACCAGTGACCTCCCAGTGTTGGAATGTCAGTGCCTTCAAAATCTTTTGATTCAGGGCCCTAGAATCTCCCAACTGCTAAGAAGTGATATCTTCCCAGACCAGACTGCCAGTCAGTCTTAGAGAATTGCTAGAGCACTGCCCCTCTTCATTCATTTCTGAAATATTCTTTTGGCCAAGGCTCTGATAGCAGCACAATTTCCATTAAGTCTTCCTTGAATGGTTTTGAAAAAGTGTAGACTGTGCCCCCAAAGGGCCAGTTTTGAGCTCCATGAAGACGTACCAGCGCTTCTGCTCGCTCAACGAATTCAGGGTATCTGCGGGACAGGAGCTGGTCTACCAAGATTTGCTCAAACAGTTTCATTCCAGTTTAAACTTGTGCCCATGATGGATTTTTTACCTTAAAACTCTATAGGAATCTGGCAGTCATTCAGTCGTTGTCTTCAGTGGTTGTGTCTTGACAGGGCCGATGATGAGGTACATGGCAAGTGTCTTGCCTCTAATGAAATACCTTTTAGAAAACAAATAAATGGGAGTGGGTATTCTTATAATAGTGTCACTCCTATCTATTTGTATTCTGAAGTGCTCTCCTGAGCCACACAGCAGGGGGTGGTATTTTAGCTGAGTGCTGGGAATGTCACAGAGCCCACAGTCTACCTTATCTGTGGCTCAGCCAGTGGTGAGAGACCATCACCAGCCTGACAACTGTAAACTATGGTGGCATTTGTGGATGAGTGGTGACGTGGCAGTTACTGCCACTATGCTTCAGTAATACGTGCTTTCTCACCTTATTAGTAGTATCTTCGGGGGAAAAGTCTGAGGGGGAAACAAAACTTGTTAAAAATAAAGTGCACCATATTTATTTAGTTTGTCCTTATCTAATGGCAATTTCTGAGATTTTTAAGTGACTTTTTTTCATATTTTCAAAATTTTTTTTAAGATTTATTTATTTATTTTAGAGAGAAAGAGAGCACGAGCAGGGGGAGGGCAGAGAGGGAGAGAAGCAGACTGCCCACTGAGCATGGAGCCCGACACGGGGCTCAACCCAACAACCCCAAGATCATGACCTAAGCCGAAATCAAGAGTTGGACACTCAATCAACTGAGCCACCCAGGCGCCCCTCAAAATGCTTTTTTGACCATCATATTACAAGTGTTTTCAGTATTATTTGTCCTACTTCCCTGTGGGGAAAAAAATCAACCTAGATTGTGACAAGTATAACTTTCATTCAAACCTCCTTATTGGGAGCAGGGATAGTAGAGCAGAAAAAACATTGAGATACGCAGCTCTAATCCAGAACCTTCCCAATGCACACACTCACATACTGCAGGTTTGCTTATTCTCTTCACTCCTGGGCATAACCAGGAGAAGGGCAGATCAGGGTCAACACAGAGTCAACACAGGCAGGGTTCCATAAACTAAGATTACAGGAAGACCCATTGGCATACAGCCAGTACAAATTAGTACAGGCAAAACTGAGAGAGTCTTAGGATCCAGGAACTCCAAGTCATTTGGAGTTGGGATCAGAAAAAGAGGTGGTTGAGAATAAATTACCAGGTAGGATGACCTGTTTTGGTCATTAGGTCCAAATTTTGGTGTGTGTGTGTGTGTGTGTGTATGTGCGCACGTGTGTTTGGGGTCTTGAAAGGGTACTATTTAGTTAATTAAAAGGTCAGAGGCAAGGTAGAAAAGGGTAGCTCATGAATGATTAGATGGATGGTTAGATAGGTGGATAAATTGATGCATGAATTATTGGTAGATGAATGGATGTTGAATGGATAAATGGAAATAATGAAATTAGAATGGATTGCTGATATGACAGATGAATGGGTGCTGAGCAAGTGAATGACTGGTTGGATGAATGGATAAATAAATGGACAATTTGATGGTTGGATGGATGGATGGGGAGCTTGATAGATGATAGACAGATACATAGATACGTAGGTACATAAATAGATGAGTGAGTGGATGACCAAATTAATGGATTGGTAGATGAACACAAAGATGAACTAATGAATGAACTGGATGGATTAAAACATAAAAGGATGAATGGTATGGTAAGCAGAATAATGGCCCCCAAAATGTCTATGTCTTAATTCCTAAAAATTTGTGAATATCTTAGATTACATGGCAAAGGGGAATTAAATTAGCTAATCAACTGACTTTGAGATAGGAAGATTATCCTGGATTATCTGGATGGACCCAATGTAATCACAAGTATCTTTATAAGAGGAAGGCAGAAGGGACACAATCAGAGAGAGCTTTGAAGATGCACATAGATAGTGATTTTAAACTCTGAAGATTTGAAAATTTGAAGGTGCATGTACATGCTGGTTTTAAACTTGGAGGAAGGAGACAATAGATCAGGAATGCAGGTGGGCTCTAGCAGCTGGAAAAGGTAAGAAAACCAACTCTCCCAAAAGGACTACAACTCTACCAACATTTTAATTTTAACCCTTAAGACCCATTTTGGACTTCTGAATTCTAGAACTACAGATCTTCCTTAACTTAGAACGGGGTTACATCTTGATAAACCCATCGTTAAGTTGAAAATACCCTAGGTCAAAAATGCATTTAATACACCTAACCTACTGAACATCCTAGCTTCGCCTCTCCTACCTTAAACATGCTCAGAACACTTACATTAGCCTATAGTTGGGCAAAACCATCTAACACAAAGCCTATTTTATAATAAATGTTGAATATCTCATGGAATTTATGAATTTGTACTGACAGTGAAAAACAGAATGGTTGTATGGGTGCAGAGTGGTTGTAAGTGTATTGGTTGTTGTACCCAGCTGACTGGGAGCTGTGCTCACTGCTGCTACCCAGCATCATGAGAGAGGGTAGTATAACATATGGCTAGCCAGGCAAAGATCAAAATTCACAATTCAAAGTATGGTTTCTACTGAATGCATATTGCTTTTGCACCATTGGAAAATTGGAAAATCTTAAGTTGAACCATCATAAGTTGGAGACAATCTGTATAAGATGGTCTGTGTTGTTTTAAGCCACTAAGATTGTGGTAACTGGTCACAGCAGCAATAGAAATGGATGAATACATCAGTGGGTAAATAAATGGATGGAAGATGGATGAATACTTGGATGATTAAATGAATGGATGATAAATGGATGAATACACGGATGGATGGATGGATGAATGAGTGGAAGAATGGGTGAATGGATACATAAATAAATGGTTGGCTGGTTGGAAGGAGGGTAAAAGAAGACTTGTTTCTCCACTCACTACACTTCGGACACCAAATGTCTGCAGTTTTTCCTCACATTAAACAATTCTGACACTACCTGAAGTTAGCCGAGATCCCACAAGTTAAGGGCTTATCCCCACAAGACTGCCCCCCAATTCAGATACCAATCACAAGTAGTGGGTTCCCAGGCTACCCACACTCCTGTCCAACTTAGCTATAAATTGGAGCTTCCCACAAGCCCCTCCTCAGGTTGGAGAATTTGCTATAATGGCTTATAAAACTCAGGGAAATGCTTTACCCACATTTACCAGTTTGTAAAGGATACAAATGAATAGCCAGATGAAGAGGAACACAGGGCAAGTTCTGGAAGGTTCTCAAGCACAGAAGCTTCTGTCCCTGTGGTGGTTGGGCTGTCCACCCTTCCAGTACATGGATGGATTCACCAACCCAGAGCCTGTCTAAACCCTGGGGCGCCTGGGTGGCTCAGTCGTTAAGCGTGTGCCTTCGGCTCAGGTCATGATCTCAGGGTCCTGGGATGGAGCCCCACACTGGGCTCCCTGCTCAGGGGGAAGCCTGCTTCTCCCTCTCCCACTCCCCTGCTTGTGTTCCCTCTCTTGTTGCGTCTCTCTCTGTCAAATAAATAAACAAAATCTTTAAAAAAATAAAAATAAAAAAATAAACCTCATGCTTTAGGGATTTTTATGGAAGTTTCATCATATAGGCATGATTAATTATTAACTCAATCTCCAGCCCCTCTCCTCTCCTCAGAAAATGGGGAGAGGTGAGGCCAAAAGTTTCAAGCATCCAATTATGGCTTGATCTATCCGGTGACACGTCCCCATCCTGAAGCTATTCAGGAGCCCACCAAGAGTCACATCATTAGAACAAATGGTAATCTTATCACCCAGCAAATTCCAAGGGATTTGGGACCTCTGTGAAAGACAATTCTATCACCCCCATCACTCAGGAAATTATAAGGGTTTTCAGAGCTCTGTGTCAGGAACTGGGGTTAGAGATGAAACATATTTCTTATTATGTTGCAGAGAGATAAATGAATAAATGGATACATGAATGGATAAATAAATAGATGGATATGTGGGTAAATGGCTGGATGAATAGTAGGTGGATGATAGGTAAATGGATATATAAACACATGGAGAGATAAAATGTGTGTAGATGTATAGATACATGGACTGATGGATGGTAGTCTGGTGGATGGGTAGACAGACACATGGATTGATAATTGGTATGATGGATGATTAAATGGATATATGAATAGGTAATGAACGAACAGATAAATAGATACTTGGTTGGAGATCTGATAGGATAGATGGGTACTTGCATGTATGCATGAATAAATGAAACGTATATTATGTTTAAAAACAGAAGCATGAAGTTCACCCTGAAATGTGGACTTGTTGACCATTAGGGAAGTTTCCAGTAAGGAAAGGAGACGTCCAGATAGAATGTAAAATGTGTGCAAAGCCCTGATCGTGCACTAAGCCTCCCTCCTCCAGGATGAACCATTTAAAACAAGGGAACTTTGCACTTAATGATTCCTTTATCTGGAATATAATACTCTTCCTTCAAGTAATTAACTCTACTTATTCCCTGCATCACTGCACAGGCATTCTTTCTCAGGGAAGCCGTACCTTATAGTATTGTGTACCTTTCATAATAAGTACTTGTTAAAATTTCAATTTTACACTAATTTGATACACGATCATGTGATTAGTATCTGTCTCCCCCCACCAGACTCTAGCTCTAAAGAGCAGGAATCAAAGTATTTTGGCATACCATTTGGTCCCCATCATTTAAGTCATGTCTGGCAATAGACAGTGTGCTTTTTGTAAGTGTTTTTTTGAATGCATTGAAACCTTCCTGTGGCTTTCTCACTCAAATCATCAGGAAAGATCTTGATGGGTTGCTGGGGCATTACTGGTACCATGGTGATTAAGTCTCGATTTACTGATGTAAGACTTTGACAAGGAGAGTGCTCCTCCAAAAGGGGGAGCCATCCCCTTGAACCCAGTGTCCCCACCATCCTAGAGAGACCAGGGTCCCTGTCTCAGGCCCAGCCCAACCATCTCTTTGCCTTAACTCAGACTCTCAGCTGTGCTGGAACCAGCAGCCCCTCTGACTGGGTGAGGCCCTCCAGCCATCCTCACCCCCATCGGGACCCACTCCAGCCACCTGCTCCTGCCCTGCTCCAAGTGGGCAGGACTCAGACTCAGAGACCACAGCACTTACTAACAGCTAGCACAAACTCCTCTGTCACTGTGATCATCCTTTTCTCCGGTCC